CAATAAAGAAAGACTTAACACTGATTTCCAAAGCATCTTAGTCTTGGAGGTTATTGACAGTAAACAGCCCAATCCAACAATGAACAGTAAAATTAAAAGGAGACTACCATATTGACATTTAATACATTCCTTTGCGAGTTTAAAAAAAAGGCACAGAATGACTTGTGAGGTGTTTCAACTTGACGGGGAAAAGCTTTTATCTACACTATTGAATTGAATAAAACAATCCACTGGATTTATATGACCACAGCTAGTGGAAGGAGTCGTTTTATTCAGGCCTGATGTTGGCTGTTAGCATAGTGCAATGTGCTCTTGTGAGTACCGCCAGTAACAAAGGCATCTTACAATATGTCAGACTCTCAACACTTTCTCCAACCTTTAAAAATAAAGTATGTCCAACATTTTGGGCCTTAAATTGAGGCAAGCAAATTGCAATATTGATGGGGAAAATTGTTGCCAACGAGGCCAGAAATTGGGAGCAAAAGAAAGGAAACCCGTGGATGGTCCCTTGGATGCAGGTCCTGGGCACAGCCAGTGTGGCAATGACTGGGTCACAGACATTATCTATCAGTCTATCTACCGTGAAGAAAAGTCCTGGAAATTTAAGGAAGCATTGGCCCCCATTGAGAAAATCTTCCTCCAGCAATCTCTCCCACCCTCGTTTCATGTTTAACCCAAAGACCAACAGACAAACTGCGAGGGCATCCCAAACCAGGTCAGACAGCTGTGACACAAATTCCTGTGATGTCGTCACTATCCTTAACCCTCCACTCCAGCCTGGCAACAAGAAAAATCCCAAAACCTTCCACCAATTGCCAGAAAACAGTACAAAACAAGAAATGAAACACAGTTGAAAGGTCTCAACAAGTCAGACACTGCCTTTTTTTTGGTAAAGACCAGACACAACATGTGTGTTACTGACGATGGTATACAAGATGCCCAGATTCTACCCCCATCCCAAATGAATTCTCTAAAATGGCCAACAGTTATGTAAAGTGTCAAACATCACACAGAACAAGTAGGCCTGTCTCTGCAATGCTTAGTATCAGAATTGCGTGAACCCTGAGCTGATATTAGTACAAAAAAAAATACAGAAAAGTACACTCAAAGCAACTTGAAGGTTGGGGGGGATGAGGAAAGGGATAGAGATCGTCCTTTTCTGTTTCATTAACAATCAGTGTACATGCTTGTTATGGTGTGCGTGTAAAATTATTACCAATACTCCTCCTCCAGACTCATAAAAGGTTACCTGTTCGCCAAGATAAGTGGAAGAGGGAGAGGAATTCCTCTCCTCATCTACTGCTGCAGCCCTCTGAAACCAGCCTTGACTATAACAATTCTATTTTGGACAATTCTCAACAGGCATGAGGAAGGACGCCTTTCTGTCAGCCCTTTCAACCGGATGTAGGCCCCTCCATACAGCGACTTGGTTGGTGGGCCACAAGGTTAAAAAAAAATTAATTTTCCCAAATCATTATACTCCTTGCTGCTGACATCAAAAGGTTGCTTTCTTTTAACTTAATAGATTTTACAAAAAATTTACACCTGCGGTAATATAAAAAAAACCTAAACCATTCACTCATAAAGGTACTGAAAATCACACATAAGCCATGGCTCTTGCCCCATTGTAAAAGTTATCTCCCTACTGGGAAAAGGAACACATGTACACATGAGAGAGCGAGACAGAGAAAAATTGAGGGAGAAAGTATACCAGGGAATAGTTCTGAGAGAAAGGGAGTGAGGGGAAACTGATAGAAAACAAGGTAAAGTGTAAAGGGCATAAAATGAAGAGAGAATTGGAGAGGAATAAGGAGCATGAGACAGAGGAGAGACAAGCAAACATACAGTACTGTATGGGAGATTTTATTCAAAAGCCTATGAAGAGTTATCCTGACAACAAGGGCATATAACAGAAGCTTTGATGCTGGCAACAATAACAGTGAGAATTACAGAAAAATAAATTGGGTACTAGGTGGTGGGGGAGGTTGGGGCTGGGGAAGAAAGGTGGGGATTGAATAACGTGTAGAGTAAAAATACAGCCTACAGCCCCTCTAGCACTGAAAGGTCCTTAAACTTAAACCCAAGTCTGGTCCCAATTATGTTTTATTTCAAAACCCAACTTTAAGAGAGTGCAAAAATAAAATCAAAATAAATATTCTTTTGAAAGAATAGCAACTACCAGCTGGAATATGAACAGTATGCATGAAAAACAGGACCCAAAATGAAGCAAGAACTGGGATAAAGCATATGAAAAAGGGACAGGCTTTAAATGCTTGACTGTGTGATTAGTCTGTATGAACAAACCCAACAAAACAGCTCTTACTAAATGATATATTCCGAAGGGGATTTGAGTGACTTGAGTGCTGTTTGAAAGTATGAATCCTTTATAAATCTGTCAGATCCTGAGAGAGCTATCTTAAACTTCCAATGTATTTAATTTTTTGTTTATACCTTTATTCCATTTCTACTCATTCAAGTAATTTCTGCTGTGTCAACATGTCAAGAAGAATAACTGCAAAAAAATGAAATTTGACAATGTTGAGCGGGGAAGCCTTCGACATTAGTTACCAACTGAGATCTCTGACCTAGACAACTATAAATTATTTTATGAAAATGCCAAGTAAAGCTGTGTTTAATGGACAAACGGTATTCAGACATCAAAAGATAACCTCTGTAAATGAGGCGGATTGTTCAATGAAGGCTGAGAGCTTAGCCAGGGTCACAGCAGGGTGAGGGGGTGAAGGGTTATCTAAGGTTACTCATGGGTGACAGTTTGGAGGGTATCCTGGGTCACCATCGGGTAAGGGGGGTCAAGGGTCATCCAGGGTCACCACCGACACATCAAATCAGTATTGGAGTAATTGACTGACGACATACCTTACACAAGGCTGGAATTTCTCTCAGTAGGGAGAAGTGGATGTATACAAGCTTGAAATGAAATGTTAAATTAAGCATAAGCCTAAAAATGCAGATTGAAAATAAAATTCAAGGTTGGCATACTGTTTCTGTGTGCAATTTAGTTACTTTTATTATTTTGTTTTCCAAAAAGCAAAACCTATACACTGCAATGTTGAGAACAATGTT